CCCATTAATTATCACCATAGACTATTTGTGCTAATAGAAGTAAAAATTTTAAAACAGCCATTTTACCAGATGATTGTGACTTGCATACTCTAAGCGAAATAATAGAGCATATTGCAAGATATGTGACTTGTTTGACCCAAGATATGCTGGAAGAAACTTAGAAGCTTAGCAATATTATAAAGTCTCCATTTAACTGATACAAAGTAACTTGAGAATTCTTTGACAATCTTCAAAAAACAAATCTGTGAATTCATGATATCTTCAAAATAATTATTTCAAATTATGGATATGATTCTCATTTCATCCGTATTGATAAAAATAGGGATATAGCACAGGAAACTAGTAGCAAAATAAAATTAAATTTTTGTATTGTGAATTGCATAGACTAGAATTATGTGGTTATTTGAATCCAGGAAGCTTGAATTTCGATAAATATAACAACGAAAGAAATTTTATTATTCTTGTAAAATTTTAAGCATTAGGGAATACTGCATTAACGAAGATCCTAAATAGCAGCTACATATCTTAGCCGCAGTATTTAAATTAAAATAAATAAAATTTGCAATGATAGAAATTAATTCTGCTCCATGATTTTCAATTTTGGCAAATAAGACAAAAGATATTGCAGGCATTGAGTTGATAAGATACTTTTATTAACTAAATTTTTCTTCAATTTATTCTTGTTTCATGCATAATAATGTATGCCTTAGTAGATAGAGAGAATCATAAAAACTAGATAGAATTAATGTCATGTTATTATTATTTTTGAAAAATAAGTTGAATATAAATTTGATACGTGGGCAAGGACATGATGGAGCTCCTGCAATAAAGCGGCATTTAATGGACTTCAGATTTATAGAAAGAAAATATTCAGTTTAAGAAATAATTCTGTTTAAAAAATATTTTGTTGCTTTTATTATCTATAAATCTCGTAGATAGATATAATGCCTGACATAAATAAAAATTTAATTAATAATACAAAATTACACCAAATTTGATATCAATGTAAAGAACATAAATTATAAATTGCCAAGTTAAGGGAATGAGGAGTAGTGTTGTTAAACGGCTCGATTTGAGCCGATTTTAAAAACGGCTAACTCAATATTTTAGCCAGGAAAAGATTATGCAAGACTAACGATTTTGGTGATAGATAGCACAAAGATTTATATATCTATTAGCGAAGTCTCGAGGCTTAGGCAATATTTTTCTGGCTAAAATATTGAGTTAGCCGTTTTAAAAAATCAGCTCTAATATCGAGCCGTTTTACAAAATTAATGAGCTTTACAGTGGAAATATATAACTGTTCATTAAGGAGAGAGAAATTGCAAACTTATTTAGGTATAATATTGTTTAATAAAAACTTTGCGACCTCGTTCACAATATATTTAGCAGCTGTGCCTGGTTAAAATTTTGACGGTCTGGGAATCTACTGCTAAATACCTTGTTCCTCTATGTCAATCATTTATAAACTATTTTCTTCAGGTTATTTTCAACCCAAAGATCCACATTGCTACAGTCATTATGCATCCAACCTTCCTTAAAAAATGTTTCTTTAGTATTTTGAAAGATTGATAGTGAGTTTCTGTTTACTACTTCATTATATTTAAGAGTATGTGAAGTTTAAAAGCAACCATATATTGTTTGATTAAACATTTAAATTTAGATACGCCAAGATAAAAATTATATGTTCAATATTAAGCCGTGAAAATTAAAAACTTAAAAACAAAATAAATAAAAAAACTTGTATTTTTTTAACACTTTTAATATAAGCTGATAAACTTTATTAAAATATGTGAATTCCCTGACAAATCAACATGAGCTTCAACCCATCTCAGATTTTTCAAAATTTATTACTAGAGTTTATACATGTTAAACTAAGAAAAAAATTAACCAGAAAATGAAATATGAGCATCTATAAGATTTAAAAAATGTGGCGTTTTAGGCGAAATGCATATCCTTTAATTTTAGATTGGATGTAACTAAGCTAGAATCAACATTTAAATTTCTTTATATAGTCTAATAGCAGCTATATAAAGTTATATAATTTAAAATATGGTTAATAACTGTAAATGTGAAAAATCATAAATAGAAAATCGAAAATGATCATAAAAATAAATCGGCATTTTCTCTTAAACTTTTTAATACATAACTATAGGACTAATTAATAAATATGCAAAATTTCAAGTTAGGCTGTTAACAGGTTTAAGAGATATGGCATTTTAATTATTAATCAATTGTAAAAATTGGTAATAAATATTTGATAAATCATTAATTGTAATATATTTAAGCCTAAATCATCTTCTAAATATTATATTATTATTTGATATATTTAAATAAAATATTGGAAAAGGTGAGATGTGAAAGGTGGGGTGGGGGAGGGGGTGAATTGTTAGTTTATAATATATTTACTTCATTTATAAAATTTGCTTTTTTCATTTTTAAAACAGTAGATTAATTCATTTGATTAAACCTATACATTTTGAAGGCCTAAGAAATATACTTCCTTGGATGATAACCAAGAATAAATCATTAACATTAATGATAATATTTGCCCAACGTAGAAAAAACATTTCCTATATCTAAATTTTACGTATATTAATTATACTGCTCAGATATAATTCCTACCATTAATGGACAAGACATCAATTAAATGCTTAAAAAGATATTCCAATAATAAAAAATTGAAAGAAATTGAAGGATGTTATGAAAATTTCTTCAGATGTTGAATTTTTTATCAACGTTGAATATCCTAAAAGCAATAAGAATTTTCTACGTGGTAAGGATAACAAAAGAATGATAAAAAGGACGTTTTATTCAATCCAAATATTGTCTAAGCTGGGAGTGGTTTTTGAAACTAAATATTATTAGAAAATATCATAATTTCGAATAAAAAGCTGCTAGCACTTGTAAAACAGTGAAGAAAATACAAATTTTATGGAATTTCATAGAATTATATTCTAAAGTGAGCTTTTTAAATTTTCAGTTTTTTTTATTTATTTTAAACATAAAATTGATTAGTATTCTTAAAACAAAATTGTAAAATTTATCAAAAATGTTTTCTCTTTTTATGGTGTAGTAAGTCAAGTATAAGAATAAGAGTCGTAATCACTATATCGATTTTGGAATAAATTTATTCTAACAACCTCATGATAATATTATCAAAAGATTAAGAAGGAGCTATCTTCAGCATCCATATAAGAATCAAATATTAAACCCCTTAGATTTATTTAATTTTATAAAGTAAATATTGATGGAATTTATTACGCATATGTAACAGATGAATCATGTTAAAAAGACTGGGAATATAAATGTTAGGGAAAATTAAATTAATGTTAAATATATTCATATATTATTTGCTCCTTTTATTGTATATTCTGTTTTAATAGAGTTTTATTTTTATGTTACTCCCGCCCCCAAAAAAATTAATTAGTTTCCATATCTAAAATAACTATTTTTTTAAATATTAAACATAAAATATTTGATATGATTTATCAATATGTAACTTTAAAGGCCCACAGCTTGCTATATAAGTAATTGGAAGGTTGGGCCTCCTATTGACTGTCAAACAGGTATGCATTTACATAGATCTCCGCCGAGATTGCAATGAAGTTTGCCTTCTGTTTTGATTTCTGCCAATCCCCTGGATCAAATGCTTATATCCCTCTACACTGCATATACTATCGTGGGCATAACCCCTCCCTACACTAATGACATCTGCACAACAAAAGTTGACATCCCTTCCATTTTCAAAAATAATTGGACCTATTAAATAATAATACACTACGTCTGAATCATATATCCCTGTGTTAACCCAAAAAAGAATAATCATCAATATCTAAATAACTTCTCTTTTAAATATTAAATATAAAATATTTGATAGCTTTTGATTTAGAAATATGTTACTTTAAAGGCCCACCGTTAAATTATATAAATGAAATAAACCTTCTAGTTTAATTAATTTAATTAAGGGAATGCATTTTGACCATAATATCGACATTTATAGGCCCGTATCTGAACGGATGTTAAGAGTTGGAGTAAATTTCTCTTTCAATTTTTATTCCCGTAGAAGATTTTATAAGATAATCATTTAGATAATAAATTTTATAAATTAAAAATATACTTTTAGATCACATTTATAATATTAGGATACCACGCTAAGATTATAAATCCAGTTATCGATTTTTTTACATTTCAGGGAATTATGTTGAGGAAAATAAAATATAAAAATACATAAAGTAAAGAGAAAAAATTGTATGTCCAGTCCTGGAAAAATTAAAATTTAAAAATAAATTAAATTAATAAACCAAATAATTTTACGACTGGAAACTTTATTTTAATATATTTTCTCTTTAAATCTTTATTTTGTAATATATGAATTAAAAGACGACGACTCGGGTTATAATGGCCAAGATTCAGGTATTATTTATGTAAATTATATTTATCTCCATTTTAAAATAAAACATTTTTTTAAATATTGGAATTTTATAGTTAATTACTTTTTTAATTTATCATATAATTTTAATAATGATTAATTATTACAATATAATACATCATTTTAATTTTCTAAAGTGTTCAGACTTTATAAAATAATTATTTAGATATTAATAAATAAAAAATATATTATCAGAACTTCACTACATTTTATAATAAAACAATTTTTTTAAATATTGTAACTTCAAAGTTCATTTTTTAACAAATAAAATTCTAATTGATATATTATAATATATTTTAATTAAAATATATATACAGTGGTGTAGGCATTGGGGGCCCATGAAAAATGAAAAAAAATTTTATTTTGTTTTAAATTTTATTTTTTTTAAAAAATTTTTTAATTTTAATTTAATAAATTCTTAATAAACGCTTGATTTTTATGTTTTAAATTTATTATAAATAATAATATACACATTTGATTATTTTTATATTTATTTTTGGTTTGCAGCTATTTCACACCATCCAAAAAAGGGAGTTATTTATTCAAACGTATCATGATATTGACTCAAAAAATCAAAAAAAAAAGAAAAAGATTTTGTCCGACCAGATTCGTCGAAAGACAAGAGTCGGTGAAACTCTTTATTGAACTATATGATGTTGTCTTTGCAGCACTAGAATTTTATATATCAAGCAAGGAAAAAGATTCAGCAGATGCCGAAAATCTTTTGCAGGCTATTATTAAGCCACAGTATTTAATTTCAATTCAATGTGTTTATTTTTTATTTAATTATACATATGATTTTAGCATGCTACGAAAAATTTTTGGATTTAAGGGAGATTATAAATAGAGCAAAGGATATTGTTGAAATATTAAATATCAGAGAGAATATGGATGAAAAATTTCATGAAATATATGAAAAAGTAAAGTTACTAAAATGCTTGGAATTGAAATTTTTAAACCTAGAGTAGTCTCTAGACAATCCAATCGATCAAATATTGATGCATCTACGATTGAGGATTTTTATAAAATAAACCATTTTATTCCCCTTATTAATACATTTTTATTTCAATTAAAAGAAAAATTTATTAGTCATAACTATATTTTAAAAAGCTTTTATTTTCTTTTGCCGGTTGAGTCTAAAGTTGATTACAAACACAAGAGGATATTAAAAAAATCTCAGAGCTGATGATTTAGTAGGTTCATATGATAAGTTACTTTGTGATGTCGAATTTTTGTATAAAAATCTTGACAGAATAGGGTATTCTTTGAGACCAAAAAATGCTCTGCAGGCCCTTTCCATGTGTAATTACATTTTTAGATTCCATGCCAAATATCAAAATATTTTTAATTAATTTAGCTACCTTGTCAATTAGTACTTGCACTAATGAAAGGTCTTTTTAAACTTTAAAAAGGTTAAAAACTATTTAAGAAACACAACCGGTGAAAAACGTTTAAATGAATTAGCTTGAATATTTATAAGGAGATTATTTTAGATAAAAATTTGATTCTAGATGAATTAGCAAAATCTCAGAGAAATGTAGATCTCTCTTTTTAAATTTAAATCAAAAAATAGAAATTAAATTTTATTAGTTTTAATATAATATCAATTTTTTTTTGTAAAAAAAGTATTATTTATAAGATAATATCATCATTTTTTTTAAATACCATTATTTGCATAAGAATTACACATATTTTATATAATTGTAAAAAATCACTTTTTTTTTAAATAGAGTCTTTATAAAATATCAACGTTTTGAAAATATTTTAATTAATAAAAATATATACATGATTAAATAAAGGAATGTAAAATATATAATAAAATACCCTAAAATTTTGTTATATGAAAATATAAAACAATTTTAACAAATCTAAAAATATAAGCAATTAAGTGTTCAAAAAAAATAGGAGGTTTGGGGGGCGAAGCCCCCCCCCCCCAAAAAAAAATTTAAGCCCCCCCCCCTTTTCATGATAAAATCTTGTTTACGCCACTGTATATATATATATTAAGGTTAAAACTTTGGATTTTTAAAAATATTATTATAAATCTGGTAAATATTTATAAAATATTATTATAAATCTGGTAAATATTTATAAAATATTATTATAAATCTGGTAAATATTTATAAAATATTAGTTTATAATATATTTCATGAATTAAAAATATATTTCGAGAGCACATTTTTAATAATGAAATTAAGCTAAGATTAAAAATTCTACTATTTTTTTTACCATAAAAATAAAGAATTGTATATCCAATAATAAGTCTTGTAAAAATCAAAAATAAAAACAAATTTTATTTAAAAACAATTAAGAATTTAATGACACTTTTAATCTAAAATGGGAAATCTTTATTTTAATATAAATAAAAATATATTTTCTCTTTCAATTTTTTTTTCTTGTAAAAGATTTAAATTTTTAATCGAATGGAGTTTAGGTTATATGAAGGACCTTGATTGAAAGAGAAAAATATGAACTTTATATTGAAATGTAAGAATGAGATACACAAATTTCAACAATTTATTTATCCCTTGTTTATTGGAAGCTGTTGATATTCACGGTCGAAACTTTCCATATGTTGTCTTCATCATAGCACATGGTAAGAATATGTTATAAGTTATTATTTAAAACCTGATAAATTTGGATCAGACATAACCATTCATTGATATATGGGTGATAGTTACCCTATGCTCTTTTATAGTGGGGCAGAGTGACTTGATGCCACATTATTAAACATGAGATTAGATATTTTTTCAATAATTTATTTTGTTTTGGATTAAAAGCTTCAATGGATTACGTATTTACCTGATACGTAATATATAGCGCATATGCCCTCTGATGTTGAATTAACAAGAGAGCTACCCTAGGTTTTCCTCATTTCCATCTAATTGGAACATAAGTTAATTGGGGTGTAAAGTTAAAAATATGAGGAGCCCTCTACACGTTTGTGGGCAAGCCGCACTTATTTGTACGCACAACTTCGAAAAATGTTACAGATGTCCATAGGCTTTAAGAAAAAGAGCGGGGCAGAAAAAAAGGTGGGTTGTGGCTGATTTTAAATTTAAGTTTTTTAGTTATAGCCGTAAATCATATAAGATAGCCGTTTAGTGAATGAGATAAAATTATGGCATTCTGTAGTATTTTTTTAAATTTAATTATGAGGAAATTTCCTATAAGTTAAAATTATTTTAGTGGCTTCGAAATAGGCTTCATCTGCTAAGTAACCACCAACTTAGCCAAATGTATTAATTCCTCTTCGACTTCTTTGTTAGCGTAACAGTTGGTTAATTAGGACATAAGCTTAGATAAATCTGTTTTGTAGATTTATAGGAGTAGTGTCCAAAAACACATACTTTTATTTAGCTCTAAACCAGTATCTTTCCAATTATTTTTCCTAATCATTAATAAAATATAATGATAACTAAATTCTATCGGAAATATTATTATATTTTTCAACATTCTTATACAATAATAATCATTATTATTGATACACTCCTCAAATTTTATGTATCATTACTTCTATAGGAACCCTTATATAAAGTTTTAAACATATTGAATTCTATTGTTTATGAGATAAGGTATTCTGAAATATATTATCACTATATCCATAATAACATCAGTAAAGTTCTTCTTACATCTCATTGGCGCTTTAGAATGAAATTATGTATTTTGAATAAACAATTTAATGCCTTCTGCCTAAAGATAGTGGAGGGCGTATCTCTTAGGTAAACTTCAATTTCTTAACCAAATTAGGTAAAATTTGAAAGAGTACAAGATTGGCTTTGTAAGTTCTTGATAAAAACACCTCCATAGTAAAAAAAAATAAAACTATATGCATTTAAAGTTTATTTAAGTTAAATATTTATGTCCTTCTCCAAAATATATACAACGTCGGGGCTTTCTATAATTTTGATCAGCCTGTAAACCTATAACAAATACTTTGTTTATCCATGTCTCCGAGAAATATCGTAATTAAATATAAACTTATATTTATTATAACTAGATGAAGAAATACTAGGAATAATATAAAATTTATAAAAATTGCTTTATTAATTATATTTCCTATCCTAATTACATTTAGATGATACTTTCAAAAGGTTTTTATTTTGTAGACTTGTTTTGTCAAATATCTTATCTGTTTCTTATCTCATTTTACCGAGACCCCCAAATGTCATGATATAATTTTTGACCATGCATATCGGCCGGCATTTGTATTCAAGTATAGCTTAAAAAAATTTTCTGAGTGTTATTAAAACATCATGATTTAAGGTTCTTGAATCTAGATAATGGAGAAATGAAGAGTTTTTTTAAAAATATCTCGAAATTGGTATTCCTTAGAGTGAATATTGAAATCCATTTAAGAATTTTCCCAAAAACACATATTTTCATTAAACCTACTTCTTTCCAATATTTTTTCTAAACAACAATAAAATATAATGATAACTAAATTCTTTTAGAAATATTATCATATTTTTCTATTTACTTTTACATTTATAAAATATTATAGATATACTCCGCAAATTTTAATGTATCACCCCCCTATAGACCCTTATATAAAGTTATAAACATTTTGGATTCTATTGTTTGAAAGATATCACTATATCCATAATTACATCAGTAAATTTTAATAGCAAAAAAATAGAGGAATCATATAATTTATAAATCATTTTAAATTATAAATCTTTTTGTAATAGGTGATGAAGCTGAAGGTAAAAAAACTATATTCTATCAATATAATTGATTATCATTTTATGAATTATTCATATGGATTAACATATCCCCATATATCAGATCTTCTCATATTTTAATATTTTTCTTAGAATTGAAAACCGATTTTTAGAAACTACACAAAATCTTTAAATAAAGAAAATAATTTTAAAAAACATTTTCCATCAATGTATATTAATATTTTTAAATGATATAATAAGATGTTTCACATTAATGGATTAGCATATAAATATAATTTTCAAACATTAAATATAAACATTAGTTTAGTTGAAAAGTGATGGTTTATTTCTTGATATTTTTATTTTATCTAATTTTTGTTCATAGAAATAGATTCACTTCACTTTTCTAATGCAACAAAGGAATAAAATTAATTAGGCTAAAACACTCCCATCATAAAATTTATTTAATCAGCTTCAACCTTTATATTTTTTCTTCTTAAATCTCATTCGCGTTTTAGAATGGTAATTTCTTTTGTGAATACACAAGTTATTGCGTTTTGCCTAAAGATATTGGAGGGCTTATCTCTTAGGTTAACTAAATTTTATTCCAATTAGGTAAAGTTTGAAAGAGTACAAGCTAAGCTCTGTATTGATAAAATATACTATTACTCAAAGAAAACTTATTCAAAGATATGATATTTTTAAAAAAACATATGTATTTAAAGTTTATTTAAATTAAATATTTATGTCCTTCTCCAAAATATATACAACGTCGGGGCTTCTATAATTTTGATCAGCATGTAAACTTATAACAAATACTTTATTTATCCATGCCTGCGAGAAATATCGTAATTAAATATAAACTTATATTTATTATAACTAGATGAAGGATTACTTGGTATAATATAAAATTAATAAAAGATTATGTACTTTATTAAATATATTTCCTATCCTAATTACATTTAATGATGATCAAAATACTTTTAAAAGATTTTTATTTTGTAAATTTGTTTTGTCATATATCATATCTGTTTCTTATCACATTTTGCCGAGACCCTTCCCTTTCCAAATGTAATGATATCATTTTTTGACCATGCATATCGGCCGGCATTTGTATCCAAGTATAGCTTAAAAAATTTTCTGACTGTTATTAAAATACATTATCATTTAAGGTCCTTGAATCTAGATGATGGAGAGATGGAGAGTTTTTTTAAAAAAATAATGGGTAT